GTGCAAAAACACAATAATTCTGTAAATGACGTCTTATTGTAGTGGTAGAAAATATGCATTCTAGTATGAGTTTGATCTCCATCGATTCTTCTTCCCTAACATTTGATAATTTAATCTACTAAGTCCTAGTTTGGTATTGCTTGTTTTCACCAAAAACTAATCCATTTTAAAATTAAATAATAAAATAAATGTTTAATAAAATAAATATTCGGCTTATTTTAAAACCAATGACCTTTAAACAACTTTTAAAAGTAGCATGTAGGTTGCTTTTAAAGTTGTCTTAATAAAAAGTGGAGTTAAGCCCTTTGATGAAATATTTTTTAATTCAATCATTAATTTAAAACAATTACATAATGCATCCGTCTTGACACAATTTATCTATGGAGAGCTACCACCACCACCTACCATTACAAATGCTCCTTCTACACTATCATAGCCACTACCACCACCATTGTTGCCATTACCACTACGCCACAATCATGCATACATGTTGCCATTACTGTGACAATCTGTCCCTAATTTTATGATTTTATTAATTTTAAAAGAGTGAATTGACTACAATGCTCCTGGAGGCGAGATTGTTAACTTTCATTAATTGTCTTTTCGTGATGCGTACGAGTTACTACTTTATTGTATTCTCGAAGTACTTAATAGTACGAACGTGTAGACGCAAGCGGAATCAAAACCGGAATTATGGTTAAAATTTTACGAACTCACGATGTTCAAGGCCATTCTGGTAAATTCATTATTATAGATAAACTACGCTTTATTATTTTAATATTTTTCGTGTCGGATTTTCTGCATGGTGGGACCCCCCCACGTGAGTCTCTTATCTCCTTTGTCCCCGCGTCACTTCTTCTCCCATACGCTCTCAGATTCCCTCTCCTTTATAGCAACTCCACCACTAAAAATGCGCTGGCACCCAGCCCATTTAATCCACTTAAATGAATAGTGATTTACCCCAATGAACAGTAATTGGCCAAATGCATCTCCAACCCTAAAAAATGTGTTGGCACAAAGTCTAAAAAATGCGCTGGTACAAATGCATCTCCATCCCTACAAATTGTGCTGGCACCCAACCCATTTAAAATATTATTAATTTTTTTATAAAATAATAAATAAAAAATTTAGTTTTAATTTTGGATAGGATTTTCAACCAATCTTGTCACGACACGTGTCATTATCCAAAGGTACTATTTTGTAGATAGATTTCCGATAAGATTTTCAACCAATCCTGACATGCCACGTGTCACTATCTGTTTACAATAATTTAACCAAGATTTCAATCAAGTTTTCAACCAATCTTATCATGCCACATGTCATTATTCGAATGTACTATTTTGTGGATAGATTTTTTATAAGATTTTCAACCAATCCCAACGCGTCACGTATCACTATCTGTTTACAATAATTTAGCCAGGATTTCGATAAGATTCTCAACCAATCACATAGTGCCACGTGGCATTGTCCAGAACCTCATCCTTTCATTTTTTGTCCATATAAACCCTACATCCATCCTCATTCATACACCAAACTCAATCCTTCTTTTTTAGCTCAGAATCCCTCTTCATCGTTTTTAAATCTTAAGTTCTTACAATGTCTTCTTCAAGGAGATTGCATGAAATCGATGAGCAACAGAAAAGATTGTTGGCATAACAGGAAGAATTGTTCAATCTCGAGGAAAGTGGAGATGAGGCTTTCGCAATGGAAGAGGATGAAGATGATGAACATAGAAGGCAAAGAGCCTTATATTCCTGTTTTGTCATGAAAGCTGTGGGTCAGATATCCAAACCCAGACGTGCTGCAAACTTGGATAAAAAGAGGGAAAGACGAGGTAAAGATCTCTTGGAAGATTATTTTATCCCCAATAGTTTATTCCCTATATTTGCGTTATCTGCTCATCGTGTGCTGCACTGGTATTAATACTCGTCCGGGCTAAGACCAGTCTTTCACGTGTATGTTCACATCGCACCGTACGCTCACTTTGGATCCATTGCATGTGCCAGTCCTGTCCTAGATTGCTATAGGCAATTAGGACTCATATATGATGCGCATAGCGCCAGTCTTCACATGATTGTAATACTAGAGCGTAAATTATTATTACACCCAGTCATGTTCATGTTAGAATACCTCTGCATGAACCGTATGTCAGCATATATCAATGAGCACTCGATGTGATATGTTTATTTCTACGAGATATTACGATTACTGGAAGTTATATGCTTATTTAAAAATTTTGTGACGTATTGAATTCTTGAGATATTGCAGACTACAACAAGTACTTACATACTATACATAGTATGTATATTTTGGAAACTATACTTGTTTTACGGCGATGGGTTATTATGTTTTCGAAAGTGTTTTTACAAAGCTTTATTTTTAGGCCCACTCACCCTTATTTTTTGTCCCTCTAGGTTTTAGTAGCTGAGCTTTCGTGTCGACGAGGATTCTTGGCAAACTTGGTATAGGTGATTACCTTCGACGGTATAATTCTTATCCTACCTTTGCTATACTTTTCTTACGCTTGACATTACGTGTGAATTGGATTCATTCTCGCTCACAAGCGCACTTATACATTTAGGCACATTTAGGTTTAAATTTACTCACATTTTCCACATCACTACACTTTATGGCTTCGTCATCTGCATGGTGTCGGCCAACACAACTTGATTCGGAGTCCAAGTAGACATCCCGGATCGGGGTGTGTCAATTACCACTACAACCACCGCCGCAACCATACCTGCCACCATTACCACTACAACTGCCACTATCATCAAAGCCGCCACCCCCACTACCACCACAACCACAATTGTCACTACCATTGTGTTCTTGTATTTACCAAGTCAGAGTTAAATAACAGTTTTTATCTTAAATAACCAAAATTAAGACTCTAATTTTATAAATGTCAGTTTTTAGAAAAACTTTCAAATATGATCAAAATCACACTTCAATAGACTTTAATACCCTCCAAATTAAAAGCAATACAACCCTGAAAATCCAAACCTTCGATTTTTTTTTTGTCAAATGATAGATTTTGTTAGATTAGTCATGTATTTGAACGCCATCATGCAAACAATCATATGTATTCATCAAGAATTGAATTTCTTTTGTTTATCAATCACAGCCTCATCTCCACCTCCCCAAGAAAAAAAAATGTTCTTTTTTTTTTTTTTTTCCAATTGAATTTTTTTAACATACAATTTTGATGATTTTTAATAAAAGGTAAAGGTTGTGATTATCAGATGATGGATGACTACCGTCGTCTCCTTCATGTGATGCTCCACCCTCATTTAACTTTGATTCTCCAAGAAATAAAAAATGTTTTTTTTTATTTTTTATTTTTTGCAATTGAATTTTTTAACATATAATTTTGATGATTTTTAACAAAAGGTAAAGGTTGTGATTATCAAATAATGGATGACGTCGTCTCCTTCATATGATGCTTGCTTTCCTTGATTTGTTAGGTTTTGAAGACAAACAGAAAGTATATAACCAGTCGACTTAGTTGTAAGAACTCAGCGGCAGCTGTTGTTTCCCAAACACCTGCCATAACCTCGACCTTGAAGAAACTAAAAACAAACAAAAAAAATTCAAAAAATTAATTTCCAGAAAAATTGTTGCTTTACATTGAAACAAACACGGAGCAGAGTAAAAAACCCACCTCACCTTCAATTCGATTACTAATCAGTCGGGTGTGGAAGTTGACAAGTATCCGACGAGCGAGAGAGGTGGCAGTCTGTTAATTACTGAAGAGCCATGACAGCTATGTGTGAAGAAGTAGGGTTTTGGCCGAGACCGAAAACTTTCCACTAGTTTTTTCGTTCGGTCTCGGCCAAAACCCTACTTCTTCACGCGTCGCCGTCATGGCTGTCCAGTAATTACCAAACTGCCACCTCTCTCGCTCGTCGGATACTTGTCGACTTCCAGACCCCGCTGATTAGTAATCGAATTGAAGGTGATGTGGGTTTTTAACTCTGCTCCTGTGTTTGTTTCAATGTAAAGCATCACTTTTTCTGGAAATTAATTTTTTTGATATTTTTGTTTGCTTTTAGTTTCTTCAAGGTCAAGGTTATGGCTGGTGTTTGGGAAACCTTTACCTTTACTTAAAAATCATCAAAATTGTACGTTAAAAAAATTTAATTGCAAAAAAAATGAACAGAAAAAAAGAACATTTTTATTTCTTTGAAAGGTGGAGATGAGGCCATGATTGATAAACAAAAGAAATTTAGTTCTTTATGAATACATATGATTGTTTGCATGACGATATTTGAATCCATGGTTAATCTAACAAAATTTATCGTTTGACAAAAAAAAAAACAAAAAAAAAAAAATCTAAGGTTTGGGTTTTCAGGTATTTTTCTTCTTTTGGTCCCATTAGCCATGTATTTTCCTCCCTGATTTCTGCAGCCTATAGCCAGTAGCAGTTGCTCAAAGCAGTTTAGATCGTTTAGCTTTTGAGCATTATCAGATCTCTCCTCATGGAACTTCTATCACGGAGTCTTTGTTTCTCGCTTGTGTTTGTAGGTCCCGTCTCCACCTAGAAGGAAAAGGAGCTCCGTGGATAGAGAAGAAAGTACCCTTAAAAGGTCCACGGACAGGGAAGCGAACATGTGCAAAAGTAGTCCTGTGGAGAACGAAGAAAGGTTTTACAAAAGATCTATTGACCCAGAAGACAGTTCTGTAAGGAACTCAACTGAGACGTAAGAACACTATCACAACAGGAGCTTGGTCGACAGGGCATAACGCACTCACAGGAGCTCTAGGGATAGGGATGAGCGCTCTCACAGGAGGATCTCTAGGAATAGGGACGAGCATTCTCACAAAAGGAGCTCGAGGGATAGGGATGAGCGTGCTCACAAGAGGCACAAGTCCTGTCAACGTGAGAGGTCCACCAGCCATCATCGCTATTAAGATTTTCAGCTGGTGGCAGGAAGGGGTTATGGAAAGACCAAGGAGAGCAGTCACTCATGATTTCGTAAGAACTGTCGGGAACCCGAAAGTCACAATATACTCACGAGCTAGTCGTAAACACAAGCAAAAAGAATGTCCAATGTGCTTGACTTTCTCCTTCACAAATCCCCGCTCAACTTCTTCCCCCATAGTCGGTTGATGGTGTCAATATGCATCACGTTTTGCTTATTCACATTTAGAAATGTAGGGATCATGCTATGTAGAACTGTGTGCATTCAAATTTAGAACAAGAGCTCATGGATTGTATGGAAATTCAAGTCGCTGATTATTTTGAAACACACACAAAAGTAGAAATTGGTATATACTTTTAACGATACAGTACCTTTAAGTTAACATTTCACGAGCAGGGTAAATGTTTTCATCCATATGAATCGATTTGATCGGTTTGGTTTGAAGGTCAAACAATTTAAATACCGAAATAAACCAATTTATGTTCTATTTGGTTTGTTTTTCATATTTTTGAAGAAGGGGAATTTTCCAAATGTCATGTCAACTTACATTTTCAATGTCATATGAATTAAAATTTGAGCGATTTATGCTAATTTTTTTAAATCATTAATTTGTTCTTACCATACTTTTGTTTAATTTTCCCTGCAAAATAAATTGCACATTACTTGTGTTCAAGGTTATTTCGATGGTTTCAACACCTCACTCTCCTTCTAATAAGTTGTCTTTGACAATAAAAATTCTAGGTTTTCTCAAAAAATACAAACAAAGAAAAATTGATTGATGTGGTATACGATGATCTAAGAGTTTCCCATTCATAAAAAACAAACAACGTGCACTCACTTCTCTTTATTCCGAAGTGTAGATTCAAAATATGATCACTGAAAACCCTTTAATTTATGATGTAGTAAAATAATTTCTTTATATTAAAATGTTAAAAAAAAAACTCTATACGCAAATTATGTGCAAGTCACATGACTTGAAAAACTTAACAAAATATGGATAAGATAACTACAAGGATGAGATGACGAATAATAATAATTTCAAAAATTTAGTATGTAAACTTAAAACAAAACATGGATGAGATGACGATTAATAATTTTGAAAAATTAGTATGACAATACGAGAATTGAAAAAATGTTTATAAATTCAATGACATTTCAAAAGTGTAAGTGACTCTATACTACAATAGTAAAATGGTGTTGTATACTTGTGCAACAGCGTAAGTTTAAATCCCATTCTACTTGAAAAATGATCATGCAGCTTCATCCCCATACCTCTCACTCAGGCAACGGGTGTTCTTTTTATTCTCTCTTTTTTTTTTTTTTTCCTTTTGTGTTCACGTTCAGAACTCTTCTATGGTCATATTATATTGTACTACTTGGTAAGAGATCGTTTGGAATTGATTTTGTAGCAACCACTTGGAGGCTCACCAGTGCTTCTGCCGTCTTTAAGAAGGGTATTTCTTGAAAGTCGAACACACCTTGAAAAGCAATGGAAGCAAACACTTCTCAAATACGCTTATATGGTGCAAAAGAACTTTTATTTACAAGCACTTTTAACTGTCAGAAGCACATTTAGCCACAAACATTTTGACAGATCCCAGGTTTTGCACTACTAATCTTGTTCAAAAATGCACACAACCTCAAATTTTGTTTCAATTACATGACAACCTCAATCAAGCCTTACTGTCGATGGTCATCGGCACCAGCTCCTGTTGTTCATTTTTGCAAATATGTTGCCGTAGAACTGCGCGTCCTTCTTGTTGTACTCTCTCACTTTTTGAGGACCTTGTTATCTTTGGTAACATCAGAAACCGTCTTCCACGATACCAACTTGAGCGCTATCTCAAGGGTCGCATTTGGCGGCACAGCGCCTTCATCCCCTATAGCTGGCCTTCCCGCCTCGCCAAATCCATCTACAAAATTATAGCTGTTAAGTTTTCATCTTGTGAATAAATTTGAATACTCTCAATAAAATAAGCAATCAACAAGTAAGCATATGGGCACAGGACTCACATTGTGGCTTTACTGTCAAAAGGACCTTTTCTCAAAAACCCGTCTCCTGGATGTTGTGTACAATGCCTCAAACAATGAGCTTGTTAGAACACAAACTCGGGTGAAAAGCACCATTGTCCAGGTGGATGCAGCTCCATTTAAGCAATGGTACCTCCAGCATTATGGAGTTGAAATTGGCAGAAAGAAGAAGTCTGCTGTTGCTAAGAAGGATACCCCATGGGCAGGCTTTTTGTGAATTCACACACCTTTTGTGAATTCAGGTCTTGGCGAGCAATTCCCAAGTTTGGAGGCTTGGTATGGAATGACGGAGAGTGCACAGGTGAGATGCCCTGGCTGCCACGATGAATCATGCACTGTATTTTATTTGTTGTTTTTTACTTGAATGAATCTAAACGGGTTTTATTACTCATTTATGTTTCGTCCAGTGGTTAGTTAACCCTCCTCTACTTGCCATAATCTTCTAATCATCACTGCCTCATGTGCTTTATAAAAAAAGAATAGGCGATCCCAAGTCAACAAGGCTCCCGCGTTGCGAGAGTTGGGGGAAGAACGTCTATTGTATGCAGCCTTGCTTAGAAAAGAGGTTGTTTCTACGTCTCATGTGCTGTATAATGCATTTGATATTCCTGGATTTCCCATTGCCTAGTTTCTTTCACGATGCTTAATATACAAAATTTAGATGGAGGAAATGAGAATTTTTAAGCTCAATACCATGATCAATGGATTGTGTTATGTTTTTTTATCATGAGGTGAATGACAATTTCATTTCATCATCACACTAACTAGTTCTATCTTTATATGTACAAGCAGGAAGGAGAAGGAACTACGGAGGAAGCAAAGAAGAGTAATGCCGCCGGAAAGCTTGAGAAGCATCAACAAGTTTGCACGCTAAACTCCAGATTGAAGGACAGTTTGGGGGTGAGTGATTTTTGGCTTTGCATATATCTTCCCGTCCTTGCGAATGTGGCAGGGCAGAGCTGATGGCTGAGTTTAATAACTCGTTTTAATACATTCGATTGTATTTGTTTTCTGCATCATCTTAGTTTGTTTCGTAAACTAATCTGTCAGGCACATCTTGGAAGGTAAGGAGCCTGAGTTTTACATGAGCAAGCTCTAGAGGAAGAAGCGAGAGGGTGTTGGCGTTTCTGCATAAACAGTTTGTTGACGCTGATATAAGAGCCACCACCTTGCATTGATGACAGACTAATCCCACTTGTTAAACCGTCCCGGAACTACACAACATCGTACTTTCGATAACGAAATACATTCATGGGAGTTCAAACCCGGATTGAGGATTTCAGTTGTTATGAATTCGATTCCAAATGTTGTTGGAATCATTTGAAAACCCACGTACTTTTTTCAGTCAATACGCTCCCTCGGTTCAAAACCGAGAAAGCATGGGCTGAGCATCATATTTTTTGGCCCGTTTGAGTCAATGCGTTGCAAATAAAAATGTGGGCCGGAAACAAAATGGGCCCAGAAAATACCTCTATAAAGCCCACCTGTTCTGTCCATGAATTTGCATTGCTTCTGAAGACAGACAGAGATTATGCGACGATGAGTGGGGGCGGACGAAACGTGAACGGAAACTTAAACGCGGTGTTCTACTCGGAGGCGTATCATCCGATTCAGGCGGGAAGCATAGACGGCACCGACACTCTCCCTCACGACAACGCCGTCTACCGAGCCTTCCTCTGCTCCTCCGCTGGCCTCTGTAACCACACACTCTCTCTCTTCTCCTCCTTTTTTCCTTTTTTCTCTTATATCCCTACCCTTTGCTTCTTCTTATTATACTTTGGCCCTGTAACTCTTTTTCTTTTGCAGATGACCCCCTGGGCGACCCCAAGCTCCTCGGCGATCCTTATTGCACTCTCTTCGTTGGTCACCTTTCTCACTCACTACCGAACGCCTCTCTCGCAAGGTTCATCTCTCTCGCTCTCTCTCACTTTCTGTTTGGTTGCCCAGAAATTTGAGAAAAGAAAGAAATAGGAAGAAAGTTGTTCAACTGTGATCGGTAGAAACCCAATTAAGTGGAAGTTCTTGGTCTAAAAACAAATTTTGAACTTGGGTTTTCAGGCTATGAGCAAGTACGGTCGGGTCAAAAACTTGCGCTTGGTCAGGCACATTGGTGAGCTTCTTAATTTTGCTTTGAATTCGAGCTCCGTACAAAATTTCACAACATTACAACTACAATGCTCTTGAATAGTAATATAGTCTGCATACTCTCTTGCAGAATTTTATGTTTCTATTTTGACACTGTAATGCTATGAGAGTCCATCTTTGTAATTTGATTGGTGCAATTTTTCCAGTAACTGGTGCTTCGCGCGGATATGCTTTTGTTGAATATGAAACCGAAGGGGAGATGCAGCGTGCATATAAGGTGCTCCAACTTTTTAGCCACTCCTAGTCTATACGATATGGAATCTCTTCATTTATTTTCATATATGTATTGCATGTCTGTGTGGCGGGGAATTCTAATTTTGCATTCTTGTACTGTTGATGGATTTCGCTTCAAGCATAATGGTATTGGTGAAAAGCGCATTTTCGCCCTTCTTCATGGTTTTGATTCCTTCATCCCATCCCTTAATCACTTGTCCTGAAATTAACCAATTGAATCATAACCCAAAATACGGCTCAGTAAGAGGAAAATTTAACAAAATGTTATCCTCTCGAATCAAGAATTGCTCCATTGGGACCGAAAGATCACGAATTCGAGTCATAAAAACAGCCTCATTTCAAAGCAAGAGTAAGGCTGCGATAAATGTTCCCCACCCCTCACAAAGTGAGAGCCTTGTTGGCTTATGGTCGCCCTTTACATATATAAACACAATTGAAAACAATGATAAAGTGGAAATGAATCAAGGGAAAACTTGAAATAGGTCCAATTTTATAGCCCAACATTAGGATTAGTCCAATTTTTAGTTACTTTTGACTTAGCTCCAATGACTAGGATTCCATGTCAGCAATTTTTCTGATTAGGTTGATTTTTTTGCATTGTTATTACTATTTTACCCTCCTATAGATTTTGCACGTTCTTCATATATTTCCCACGTTTTAAATTTTTATCAGAATTCAAATTCATTGTTCAGTGGTCCTTCATCTCTCCCGGATTTCTTGATAACAATTTTTGAATTTGAATTTCTTATCAATCTATTTTTAAGGAAGGCTTAATCACTTTTAACTTTCTAGTAACTTTCTATATAAATTATATGTGTTTATACGTGCAGATTTCTTCAGAAGACCTATTCTCTAGGTACAATTTTGATGATCGCAGATTTCTTCAGAAGACCTATTCTCTAGGTACAATTTTTATGATCGTGTTTTTCCTTCGTGGTTTGTCGATATTCAATCTTTTCCATCTATCAAAGGACTAAAACACAACAGATTGAATGCCAATTAACTTTCAAGCCAGGTATATTATAATTGTTTTCCACTTTATTGTTGTTTGCTGTGCGAATTCAAAACATGAAGACTTTATCCTAATCCCCCTAATCCCTTTCTATCATCTCTCATTGATATGCTTCTTTTTCTTTTTATTAAAAAAAAAAAAAACCAATGCACAGAAGGTGTGTGATGTTATGCCTCTTTGAAAAGTGTACTCTTTAATTTCCGGTGGAAATTTATTGTTTTCTTATTGTCACTATCCTTGTAACTTATTCTAGATTTCGAACCGCCTGATGATAGCAAAGGGAAGAATTTCATTGTGATTGGAGTTGTTTTAGCATTATTCCTCATTTTCTTGATTTTGGGCATTCTTTGGTGGAAAGGTTGTTTACTTGAAGCTGTTTCCACCGTTTTTCCAGAAGCACCACATGTATTTTTCATGTTTCATTTGAAATTGAATATACAAAGTAAATATCCAAAGCAGATGGTTTCTGGTTATGGTGAAGTCGTTGCTAACCTGTTCTAAAAATGTTGTTAATTACGCTCCATCCCAACTTGTGTTCGATCAGGAAATGAAAACTCTCATCAAGGATGGTGGTACAATAATTCAGAAATTTTTGCAAAACATACCCAAAGAAAACTGGTCCAATGCATACTTCAGGGGGAAAAAATATGGTGAGATGTGCTATAATATTGCAGAATCCTTCAATTCTTGGATTTTGGATGAACGCAAGATGCCAACTTACCAAATGATTGATAACGTGTAGCAAAAAATCCAACATGTAGCAAAAAAATCCCACTTATATTGTATTTAAACTACCTAACATGTAGGAAAATTACTGACAACCATTTTTTATCAACAATTTGAAAGTACCTGTTCTACAGGTATACCATATGACCATGTATGAAACTGAAATCTTCCGAGAAGTTACAATACCTGTTCTATAGGTATACCTATCCTTGTAGAATATGACTTTTACATTCACCATTAGTTGTACAGATATATTACTGTTTGGGAAGGTTTTAAACTACCTAACATGTAGGAAAATTACCGACATCCATTTTTTATCAACAATTTGAAAGTACCTATCCTTATACAATTAGAAAGTACATTTACGAACTATGTCCAGATAATGACAAAATAACATTATCTGAGATTACAAACAAATCTTACTGTGCAATCAATAAAGGGAAACATGAAGAATATCCCCTTTCAATTGAAATTGAAATTAAAAAACAGATACGACAAAGCATATCTCAGTTCACATAACACCTAAACTTACAATACCTGTCCTATTCTGTTTTCATCATATACTGGGAGAAAATTTATTGCTTTCATAGCTTCATACGGATTTAGGATTCAAAACAAGGTTTTCGCTGGACATGGACGCAAACCAATTTGAAAGATGGGAGGATAAGGATTTTGAATAAAAAAAGAGATTAATCTGCAAAAGACCTGATAAAGGGGTCTAATGGCAATTGTTGTAATTTTGTTGGTAAATTATGTGCATTTTTATTGCTGACATGGATGATTGTTGTACTTAGTAGCCCCCACTTATGTTTATGTAATATAAGTGGATTCCATTCAAAATAGGCTTATAAAATTGGACCCATATCAAAAGACCCATGAATCAATCACCTTGTCCGAGATTGAACTTGAAAGGGGTCCCACGGTCACGGCTCGAATCGAATTTGGTTCCGTCCAGCAGAGTCCCAGTGTAATGCACTGCAAAATTACCACCAGCCAATTAGTACCAACGCTCACCATCAAACAACACACATATATGTATATGTATGTATGCGTGTGTGTATAAGTATAGTATAGTGTGTATATATATATATATATATATAATTATACCTTCAACTTCGTCGCCGGAGCCGGGAGTGTCCCAGCCTTCACCCTCTTTAAGGAGCTTCTTCTTGAGGCCGTTCTTCCCGATCTCCTTCTCATCACCAACCTTGAGAGTTGGGCTAGTTGCGTCGTCCTCGGCGTCGGGAAGGTCCAAGTCACCGGGGTCGTTGAGGCTGTTGGTGGCAGCTGAGAAATCAAAGTCGTCTTCCATGGCAACTTCCTGACCCGATTGCAATGGGCGTTTAATGCTATTGAACAAGCAAGCGCGAAACAGAACAGTGAATGCAGAGGCTTTTTCGAATTGCGGAGAGAGAGAGGCAGAGGAGAGAGAAAAAGAGAGGAGAGTCTAGAGAGTTCTGAAACGTGACATGGTCAGGATGGTTCCAGAATTATCTCCATTTTTGACGAACTTTGTTATAAGATACAGTCTTGCAATAAAAAAAATAATTATTCCATTAAAAATAAATAAAATATATAAATTAGTTTGGCCTCCATCACAGGATTTTTTTTCTTCTAAGGATTTTAAGAATATAGTGATCAGGACCGTCCATCTGATAAGAATCTTTTTTCGTTTAGGGTCGGTTCATAATTTGAATCATAATATAATTGAATGATCATCTCAACGAAGTTTAACTAAAATTGAAAGACGTTTAATTATTTAACGAGAATTTATTATATATAATTAAAATTTAATCTCTAATTTCATAAATATTAGGTTTCATAAAGATTATCAATTATGGCAACAAATAAAAGAAATAATTATTCCATTAAAAATAAATAAAATATATAAATTAGTTTGGCCTCCATCGCAGGATTTTTTTTTTCTGAGGATTTTAAGAATATAGTGATCAGGACCGTCCATCCGATGAGAATCCTTTTCCGTTTAGGGCCGGTTCATAATTTGAATCGTAATAGAATTGAATGATCATCTCAACGAAGTTTAACTAAAATTGAAACACGTTTAATTATTTAACAAGAATTTATTATATATAATTAAAATTTAATCTCTAGTTTCTTCAAGGTTGAGATTATGGCCGGTATTCGGGAAACAGCCGCCGCCGAGTTCTTACGAGTAAGTATTCTTCGTTACCATTTTTTTTTTGTTTTTTTATTATTGCTTTGAAAAATTGTAGCATTTTGGTAGAAAATGTCGATCAAAATCGAAAGCTGTATGTCGCTTGGTTTTATTTGGCAGGGCACGAATAGGCAGAGCCTTTTTTTGCAGAGGAACTCGGTTAAGGGAAGAAGCCAGGTGCTTTGGGGCTCGCTTCACGGGAGAAGTTCAGCTCCCAGTTTTGGTAATAGGAGAGGTGTTTCTTTGAGGTGTCGTGCTCAAGAAAAGCCCAGAGCTGTGGTTTCTGGTGGTGTGAGCAGCTTGGTAGATGATGAGCAGTCAAGCTTGGTTGAGAAGCCTGCAGCTGAAGTTATTCATTTTTTTCGCATCCCGCTCATTCAGGAGAGTGCAACAGCTGAGCTTCTGAAGACGGTTCAGACAAAGATCACGGATCAGATTGTAGGTTTGAAAACTGAGCAGTGCTTCAACATTGGCCTTGACTCGCCACTTTCTAGCGACAAGGTTTTGGTTTTGAAGTGGCTTCTTCAGGAGACTTATGAGCCCGAGAATTTGGGGACTGAGAGCTTTCTTGAAAAGAAAAGGCAGGAAGGGCTTAGTACAGTTATTGTTGAGGTTGGTCCTAGGTTGTCATTTACAACAGCCTGGTCTTCTAATGCTGTATCAATTTGTCGAGCATGTGGGTTGACAGAGGTGACTCGTTTGGAACGGTCAAGGAGGTACTTGCTGTTTAGTAAGGGATCACTTCAAGATCATCAGATTAATGAGTTTGCTGCACTGGTTCATGATCGAATGACTGAGTGTGTGTATTCCCAGAAGCTAGTTTCATTTGAAACGAGTGTAGTTCCGGATGAAGTTCGTCATGTACATGTCATGGAGAGGGGTCGGAAGGCATTGGAGGAGATAAATCAGGAAATGGGTTTGGCATTTGATGAGCAGGATCTCCAGTACTACACTAGGCTATTCAAGGATGAAATCCAGAGGAATCCAACAACAGTTGAGCTGTTTGATATTGCACAATCCAACAGTGAGCATAGTAGGCACTGGTTTTTTACTGGCAAAATTATTATAGATGGACAGCCTATGGATAGAACTCTGATGCAGATTGTGAAGAGCACGTTGCAGGCAAACCCAAACAATTCTGTAATTGGCTTCAAGGATAACTCAAGTGCAATCAAGGGGTTTCTTGTAAAGCAAATGCGACCGGTTGAGCCAGGTTCAACATGTCCATTGAGCATAGCTACTCGGTACCTCGATATTTTATTCACTGCTGAGACCCATAATTTCCCATGTGCTGTAGCGCCTTACCCTGGTGCGGAGACAGGCGCAGGAGGTCGAATCAGGGATACCCATGCGACTGGAAGAGGGTCTTTTGTTGTAGCATCTACAGCTGGTTATTGTGTTGGGAATCTCAATATGGAGGGCTCTTATGCACCTTGGGAAGATCCGTCTTTTGCTTATCCATCAAATTTGGCTCCACCTCTGCAGATCCTTATAGATGCTAGCAATGGTGCATCAGACTACGGGAACAAATTTGGTGAGCCCTTGATTCAGGGCTACACTAGAACATTTGGAATGAGACTTCCAAGTGGAGACAGGAGAGAATGGTTGAAGCCAATCATGTTTAGTGGAGGCATTGGGCAGATTGATCACACCCATATAACAAAAGGTGAGCCTGACATTGGTATGCTGGTTGTTAAAATTGGAGGCCCTGCTTATCGTATTGGAATGGGGGGTGGGGCAGCATCGAGCATGGTTAGCGGCCAGAATGATGCGGAGCTTGATTTTAATGCCGTACAGCGTGGAGATGCAGAGATGGCACAGAAACTTTATCGTGTGGTCCGTGCCTGTATTGAGATGGGGGATAATAACCCTATCATTAGCATTCATGATCAGGGGGCAGGTGGAAACTGCAATGTTGTTAAGGAAATTATATACCCCAAGGGCGGCCAGATTGATATCCGGGCAATTGTAGTTGGTGATCACACAATGTCTGTCTTGGAGATATGGGGTGCAGAATACCAGGAGCAAGATGCAATCTTGGTGAAGCCTGAAAGCCGCCACCTCTTGCAATCAATATGTGAAAGAGAAAGGGTTTCTATGGCTGTTATTGGAACAATAAATGGTGAGGGACGTGCTGTTTTAATTGATAGCTTAGCTATTAAAAAATGTGAATCTAGTGGACTCCCTCCCCCTCCTCCTGCAGTCGATTTGGAGCTTGAGAAAGTACTTGGTGATATGCCACAGAAAAGTTTTGAATTCCACAGGACGATTGATGCACGAGAACCACTTGATATTGCTCCTGGAATAACAGTGATGGATTCACTTAAGAGGGTGTTGAGACTTCCATCTGTTTGTTCAAAGCGCTTCTTGACATCCAAAGTAGACAGGTGTGTTACGGGTCTCGTAGCACAGCAGCAAACTGTTGGGCCCTTGCAAATTCCTCTCTCTGATGTTGCAGTAATAGCGCAGACTTTTACTGATGTGACTGGAGGTGCATGTGCCATTGGGGAGCAGCCAATCAAAGGTTTGCTGGATCCAAAAGCAATGGCGAGATTGGCTGTGGGAGAAGCACTCACAAATCTTGTTTGGGCAAAGGTCACTTCTCTATCTGATGTTAAAGCCAGCGGGAATTGGATGTATGCAGCCAAGCTTGATGGGGAAGGAGCAGCTATGTATGATGCTGCTACAGCTCTTTCAGAGGCAATGATCGAACTTGGTATTGCAATTGATGGGGGGAAGGACAGTCTTTCCATGGCAGCCCATGTTGCAGGCGAGGTTGTTAAGGCACCTGGCAATCTTGTAATGAGTGTTTATTGCACTTGTCCTGACATAACAAAAACAGTAACCCCAGATTTAAAGCTCAAGGATGATGGCGTGCTGCTTCACATTGATTTGGCAAAGGGAAAGCGGAGGTTAGGTGGGTCTGCTCTTGCTCAGGTTTTTGACCAAGTTGGCAATGACTGCCCTGACATTGAGGATGTTCCTTATCTAAAACGAGTTTTTGAGGGAGTTCAGGACCTTCTTTCTGACGAATTGATCTCTGCTGGTCATGATATTAGTGATGGTGGGCTACTGGTCTGTGCCCTTGAAATGGCATTTTCTGGGAATTGTGGCATAACTTTGGACTTGACTTCACATGGGAAGGGCCTATTCCAAACGCTTTTTGCTGAAGAACTTGGTCTGGTTATTGAGGTAAGCCGGAATAACTTAGATTTGGTGTTGGAAAAACTGAGCAGTTACAATATTTTGGCTGAAATTATTGGTCAAGTAAGTGGCACACCCTCAGTAGAGTTAAAGGTTGATGGGGTTACACATTTGAATGAGAGTACTTCTTTTCTAAGGGACTTGTGGGAGGACACTAGTTTTCAGCTGGAAAGACTTCAGAGGTTGGCTTCTTGTGTGAATCTAGAAAAAGAAGGGTTGAAAGATAGGCATGAGCCTTCATGGGATTTGTCTTTCACTCCTTCTTTCACAGATGAAAAGTATATGACCGTCGCTTGCAAACCAAAAGTGGCTATAATCCGAGAAGAAGGCAGCAATGGGGATAGAGAAATGTCGGCAGCATTTTATGCTTCTGGTTTTGAACCATGGGATGTTACAATGTCAGACCTTCTTAATGGAACCATTTCATTGCATGAATTCCGTGGAATTGCGTTTGTTGGAGGTTTTAGCTACGCCGATGTGCTTGATTCTGCAAAAGGTTGGTCTGCATCAATTCGATTTAATCATCCCCTTCTAAATCAATTTCAAGAGTTTTACAAGCGGCCAGACACTTTTAGTCTTGGAGTTTGCAACGGGTGTCAGCTTATGGCCCTTTTGGGGTGGGTCCCGGGTCCTCAAGTTGGTGGTGTGCTAGGTGGTGGTGGGGACCCTTCGCAGCCCAGGTTCATTCACAACGAGTCTGGACGGTTTGAATGCCGATTCACCAGTGTGGCAATAAAGGACTCGCCAGCTATAATGTTTAAAGGAATGGAGGGCAGTACATTGGGTGTGTGGGCTGCACATGGTGAAGGAAGAGCATATTTCCCCGATGATGGTGTTCTTGATCGTTTGCTTCACTCAAAGTTGGCACCAGTAAGGTATTGCGATGATGATGGTAATGAGACAGAACTTTACCCTTTCAACGTCAATGGCTCTCCCTTGGGGGTTGCAGCAATTTGTTCTCCAGATGGGAGGCATCTAGCCATGATGCCTCATCCAGAGCGTTGCTTCTTAATGTGGCAATTCCCCTGGTATCCCAAGCAATGGGATGTGGAAAAGAAAGGCCCTAGTCCCTGGTTGCGAATGTTCCAGAAT